GGCCTCAACGAGAGCAAACTGATTGCTGGAGACAGTTTTGGCCCTGACTCCGAGACAGAGCTCGGGGAGGAGACGGTGGAGACATATGTCTGGCCACAGGGCTGTTTACAAGCCATGCTGATCTCAATCTGTGATGACAGATGGCTGCAGCAGGGAGATGTGGAGGGTCCCTTGCCACACACCCTTCTGCCCAGAGAACAGATCACACACACACACACACACACACACACACACACACACACACACACACACACACTGGACAAGGCTAAGTTTGATGCACAGGGGCACCTGAGCAGGCTGGAGCTGAACCCTTGATCTGTAAACTTCAGGTGGGTAAGCTGGATAGAAACTTTGACTCCCCGGGAGCAGTGGAAAGAGTGTGGGTGCTGGGGCAGCCAGACTAGTGTCTAATTCCTGGCTCCACTCTGACTAGCCGTGTGAACTGGGCACATTTCTTATCCTCCTTCGGTCTTAAATTTTTCACCTGTAGAAGTGGGGACAGAAACTCAGTTCGTGGGTTGTTGTGAGGATTAACTGGTTGTTTACTGAAACAACCAATGTCAGACTGAAACTAGCATAATGATAATGCCTGGCACAGTACCTGTAGGTATTCCTCAAGCCTCCCTCCCTCCCTTCCTTCCTTCCTATCTCCCTCCCTCCCTCCCTTCCTTCCTTTCTCCCTCCCCCCTCCCTCCCCCCCCCCCTCCCTCCCCCCCTTCCTTCCTTCCTTCCAGAAACACAGTTTCGAGGAAAGCAAGGTGGCCTGCTGCCCCTCACTGGCTGGAGACACTTGGGCAAGTTACTCTCTGAGCCTTGGCTTTCTTATCAGCAAAATGGGGATGACTTTTCCTTTCTCAGAGGGTTATTGTGAACACTAAATAGGCATGCAAAACCCGGAGCATGATGCTTGTCACATATTGGTAATTATAATAATGTCCATTATTCCAGATTTTCCTCCTTGGTGAAGTCCTAATGGATCCTGCAATGATTGTGGAAATGCCACCCAAAGACAGGCTCTGACTGCTTCCTTGGGAGGCTCCGGAGCCAGAGTGGGTATCTTGGTCACCATGACCAGTGAGGTGGAGAGGGGTCTGGTCAGAGCCCTGGCTCAGACAGGCGCCGCTTCCGCCACCCTAACCCTATCCCTCCCAGGGCTCTCCAGGCCAGAGATGCCATGTGTCAGTGACACCCCTGCTAGGGTAGGGAGGGTGCTAACTGGAGCTGAGTCACAATTCCCAGGAGGCTTCGAGCCAAAGAATCACGGCTTTTATCAGCCCAACAACTGGAATTCTTAAAATCTCATTTCTTTAGGGCAGGAGACTGGGTGTCTGACCCAGAGTTACAGAGAACAGGAGCCCCACCCCGGCACAGCTGTTCCCCCGGCCGGGGTCCTCTAGCTCATTGAATGCCTAAGCCAAGAAGCAGAGGAAGGGGATCACAGAGCGATTAGAAGCAGGGCTCTGGGGTCACATAGACCTGGAGTTTCAGGCCCAATTTCTTCATCTGTAAAATGAAGATAGTAACACCCACCTAGAGATGTTGTTAAGAGGCAAGGAAATGAGAACGAACTTAGCGTGGTGCTTGGCGCGTATTACACCCTCTGAGTAAAGGGCTGCTAATGAGGACGTGATGAGAGTGATGCTGCCATGACTCGCCCTAGGGTTCTCTGCTCCAGCCTCCTCAGACATCACCTTCACATGCCCACTCTCCTCGGGGGCTGGCATCACAGACCTACACCTGGAACACTCCTTGTGGGCAAGGGCCATGGCAAAACCCAGCCAAACCAAGGCTTTCCTTCTATTGAGAGTTTCAAATAAATGTTCAGATGTATATATAAACCTATATTCCCTCAAAAATCAATTTCCTTTCCACACACCTGTTCTTGGTAGGCATACTCCTCGTGGCAGGGAGTTCAGGACTTCTGGAAACATTCCATTATATTGCTGGGCAGCTACAGTTTTTAATAAGTTGTCCCTGCTGCTCAGTTTCCAGTTGAGTTCTGCCTACTAGAAACACCCACACATCGGCTTTTGCCCACGCCCTGAAACCACACGGAACAAGCCTGCCCACTCCCCCGCAACCCCCGGATGTTTCTTTCAACGCATCTCTGTTGATTCAGGCCTGCACTGCAGGTTGCTGCCCTGCCTGTCTGTTCAATCCAATCTTCTGGCAGGATGTTGTCCTTCATGTATACGTGGAATACAGTCCTGGGATGCACCCTCTTGACTGTAAAATCCTGGTCTAGCATCCTGATTTGTATTGTCTTCAGGTTGCCCCAACGCCCCTCTCCCCAGAATGATTAGGGAGATCCTGGTCCCCTAAGAATCAGACACACTGTGATTTGAATCCTAGCTCCCCTGTCCTAGCTGTGTGACCTTGGACGAGTTCCTCAGCCCTCTCTGAGCTACATTTTTCTCCTCCGTCAAATGGGGATAAAGATCCTTAGCTTGCCGCTGGTTGTGACAATGAAATGAGATCACGTAGGTGCAAAGCACGGCACAGTGGAAAACTTCAGTACCTGGCGGCTCTTGTTGTTTTTAAGAGGGAAAGATGCAGAATTTCTTGAAGGGGACGAACAAGAGAATCAGCTCTCCCCAGAGACACAGGGAGGGGCCTGGATTCTGCGGTGAACTCACCCTACTCCAGGCAGACGGAGAGATGGTCTCGTGGCAAACAGCCGGGGCCCACCACTGCGGGCCGCGCGCCGTGTGCCAGCCCAGCCTGCCCCAGCAAAGGGGCCTTGGGGTTGACACAGCCGGTGCCAAGCCAGATGGGGCAGCAGCCAACTTTCCAGTCAACCCAGATGTCTGTCTTTCTCGGATGAAAACTCAAAAATGTGGTCTCAGTCAAAGTGGCCTTTGAGAGCTGTGTGCTCTCCAGACCCTGCAGAAGCTCTGAGCTGCGACTCTTGATAACTCCCCAGGGGTCAGGAGGATGTGGCTCAGGCCAGGTTCTGGCAGGTCAGCTGCATCTGTCACTCAGAGTGAAGGGAGAAAGGTGGGGGGACCAGAGGCTGACCTAGATTGACTCTCTGAGCCGTTTCCCTAAGAAGGCACTGAGGAATTTTTCTGGAAGAAAAGGGATTTGTCTGTGCCATGTAACTGAGACTTCAAGGCAGTCCTTTCCCATGTCAGAAATAGCAGCACTGCAGGGACCTTCTTCAACCGTCCTGTACAGCCTCAGAAGCCAAAGCTGATTTAGCGGAAGCCATGAAGTCACGTGGTTCCCCCCGCTGCTGGCTCCATCACTCCCCTCACCCCCTGATTCTACTAGACCACCTTGTTGGGGATGACAAAGCCCTTCCCTGAGGGGCACAGCCTTATTTTATCAGAAGAGAAATAGAGGTTCAGAGGGGCATAGCCACCAGGGCTGAGAATGTTCCGGAACTCAGGAGTATGCCTGTCTTGCCGACCATTCCCAAACCTACCCCAGCAGCTCGCCTTTTTTTCTAGAGTCTTGCACAGTAGCTTGCCTGTCTTGCCTACTTAAAGAAACATTCCCCACCCCGGCCCCAGGCCTGGGACTGGAGCTAGGTGTCTGGCACCCTGTCAACACAAACAAGGTTCCCCAGCATCTTGCCCCTTCTCTCTACAATGCCCAGCTGCACTTTAATGCATTTAAAATGTTTATATTGCCCTTTGCAATTTCTTGCTCAGTGTGGGGAATGCCTAACATTCCAGGGTCTGCACCCTTGTGCCCAGCTTGCTGAGGTGTGCTGAACACAGTGAGGGGTGGTGCGAGCAGGGGACAGGGAGGGGGTGGGTGCTCAGCCTTGGGTGTGCTATGCTCCGGGAAATGTTCTCACTCTGTCGATCTCACCTGCCTGTGCAATTTCCTTGGGTTGTTAAGCTCTTTCCCATCTCTTTGGCCCCCTCTAATAATTCTATTTTTTTTAAATAAATAATTTATTTATTTAATTTTTGGCTGCATTGGGTCTTTGTAGCCGCGCGGGCTTTCTTTAGTTGTAGAGAGCAGGGCCTTCTCATTACAGTGGCTTCCGTTGTTGCGGAGCACGGGCTCAGGCACGCAGGCTCAGTAGTTGTGGCTCGCGGGCTCTAGAGCGCAGGCTCAGTAGTTGTGGCGCACGGGCTTAGTTGCTCCGCGGCATGTGGGATCTTCCCGGACCAGGGCACGAACCCACGTCCCCTGCATCGGCAGGCAGACTCTCAACCACTGCGCCACCAGGAAAGCCCCCGAGTTGACTTTTGACAGGCAAAAGAAATACATGCCAGGCCTGGACCCGAGCCCAGGAGTGAGGCCTGCAAGAGGAAGACAGGCTGAGTGGGCAGGAGCCACACTCAGGCATAGGTACCTCATCACCTGTCTCCCAACTTTAAGATCAATGCCTATGAGAGTGGCATTTTGCTCACTCCTGAATTCTCAGTGCTCAGTATAGGCAAGGCACCTGGTGAGTATTTGCCGAATGAATAAATGAATATGTTAGGTTTTCCCACCACAAAAAAGAGGGCTGGCCGCTGAGTTTCCCATACCCCAAGGCCGAGGACATTCGGGGACAGATGCCCAACACTGATTCAAAGGCTGAGAGGCAGGAAACAGGAGCTGAGGAGGAGGCCTAGGGGTCCCTCCAGGGAGAGACTGAGAGAAACACTGAGTCACTAAATCAAGACCTCTGGGCCCCTGGTACCTGGGCAGGGGGTATGTGGAAGGCGGTTGAGGGGTAGAAGAGGGCCCAGCATGGGATGTAATTCCTAAAATCTGAGCAAGAACAACTGGCAAAAGAGAGTAACCCATTCCAGGCCATCAGACCGAGCAGGCAGGCCACGCTGCACCTGGCAATGGGTCTGTGCCGTCAGAAGCCTCCGCCACCAGCCAAAAGCACACTCAAGGTCGATTTGGAAAGCTTTCCTAGTTTACCAGCCTGTTCTACCTGCCTGGCCTCTGAGGCCCTGGTGGGAAATGCGGGGGGTGGTGCCTGCAGCAGAGGCCAGGCCCTGGGAGAGCTTTGCTGACAACCCTGGACCCTGGCACCCAGCACTCACCTGGTCTGGGTGGACACGGGGCACAGGAAGTCACTCCCCAGAAGGCTCCCACACTGCCACAGCAGTCCTCTTGGGCAGTCAGCTCCAGCAGGGGGTTGGCACACTGGAAAAAAGCCCATGGACACTCATCACCTGCTTCCCTCCCCTGCTGCGCACAGAGATGTTACAGGAAAGCCTGAGACATGAGCTCACCACTCGCATCCTGCAGAGAATGCCCCCACCCAAAGGGAGGGGAGGAGAGGGGAGGAGTTGTCCCGGAAGGAAGCAGTGAAACCCAAAGTCCACTCTGCCAGACCCTAAACTTGGGAGGGGAGTGGCAGGAACACATCCAGATAAGATCTTGTCTGTGAAGTCTGCAAACTGCCCCCATCCATGTTCCCAGCCCACAGAGGTTGGGCTTTCCTCCATCAAACTCCAGGGTATGCCAGGGCCACCTCCGTGAGCAGGGTCCATGCTCAGCGACACCACAGCTGAGAGGTGGGGAGGAGCTGGGGACTCAGAGCCCCTATCCCTTGGCTACTCACTACCTCCCCCAGTTCCGAGGAGGGGTTTCCGGGAACGCCAAACTGTGATCCAAGGGAAAACCATCCTGGGTCTGGCTTAGCCCCTATCCTTAGGTGCCTGGACTCAGAAAAGCTTACATGATTTCCCATCACCGACTGAGGAGGATGCCACCGGGGGTAGGGGGGATGGAGTGTCTTATCTTTGCACCACCAAGGCTTTGGGGTTTAACCTGCATTTGCTAATTTCACATCTCTGTGACTCCACCCTTAACTGAAGACCAAACTCCTTCTCGCCAGATCTAATAGCCCCACTACCCACGCACCGGGAGTCCTACACTCAGCCCCAGGAGAGCCCAGGATTTGCTAGGACACAAGGATGCTTGTTCCCCTCCAGAGGGGGCCTCTCTTGGGTCCTCTTCTGTGTGCCCGGCACTGACAGGTACCCAGTGACGACCAAGTAGGAGGCTCAACCTCTCTACACTCAGGCAATTTTATGCCCTGAGTTCTCCCATGTGGGGAATGGGAGACCCTGTAGATTCACATTCCTTAAGAACACGGAGGAGAGAGAGAAGGAGGAGGGGCACTGCAGGAAGCAATTGTGGTCCCAGAAGACCCCGGGGCTGGGGCAGGAACTGCCTTCTCACCTGTCCATTCACAGCACTCAGGTAGCACCGGCCCAGCAGTGCCGGAGGCCTGGGCACCACCGGGGGTGGCGGCCGAGGAACCACTCCAGACCGAGCCGGGATGCTGTTGCTGTCCCAGTGACCATGGCCGGGGCTGGCGGGGAGCCAGGGCGAGGGTCTGGTCTCCACGCTGTTCTCCTCTGGGGCCTCCTCGACCTCGCCCCGTACCCGAGCCACCTGGTGGACCTGCACGGAGGCCTCAGGCGGGTGGTGGATGTGCACCTTCACCAAGGAGGGGTTCACAGAGGCTGGGGGCAGGGGCTGGGGTCAGAGGTGGGGAAACAGGGCCCCACCCTCTGAGGAGCGCAGCAGCCCTGGGCCAGGCGAGCCACTGGCTGTGTCTCCCCAAAACTCGCCTCCATTTCTTCACTCTCTACTCAAAACCCAGAACAATACCCCAGGGAAGATAGGACCAAGCACAGGCTCCTTCCCTCCACACCTTAGCACAGGCTCCGGACGCGCAGGCTCAGTGGCCATGGCTCACGGGCCTAGCCGCTCCGCGGCATGTGGGATCTTCCCGGACCGGGGCACGAACCCGTGTCCCCTGCATCGGCAGGCAGACTCAACCACTGCGCCACCAGGGAAGCCCCACACCTTTTCTTGAAAAACCTTCATTACCAACTTCCAAACTACCTTCCTGATTCCACCTCCCCCCATGATCCTGCACAACCTTCGAGCTCCAGCCCAACAGACCCTGCATGGTCCCCACTATATGCCTTTGTTCACACCAGTCCCCCTGCCCAGGAAGCCCTCCACTCCCCTCTGCTTAACCAAAGCCTATCCATTGTTTAAGGCCTAAGTGAAGTCCACCTCCCCCATGCAGCCTTCCCTGAACTCCCCAGGCTTGGGGCTCTCCATCCCCTGATCTCCTACAAAATTCTGTATTTTTTGTACCCTTTATTTGGCACCTAATAACGGAAGGCAGAGGAAAGGAAATGTTTATGATGCTATTCTTTCTCATGCATCCTCCCTCTATTGTTCAGAACCATGGGTTCCTTGAAATCAGGACCCTACCCTTATACTCTTTTGTTTCCCCCATCGCACCCAGTAGGGGATAAGAGAAAAAAAAAAAAAATTGATGAACTCAGATGGAAGGGCAGAGAAAAACTTAGGGAATGAAACTGAGTGCTAAGGGTAGAGGAGAAGGAAGGGCTGGAGACAGCTTCCCGTCCCCTCCATGAAGATGCCAGCACCCACCCTATGCGGTTACCCAGGTCGCCTCCCAGCCCCACACTCACCCAGCTGGTTGGAGAGAGGCAGCGTGAAGGTGGACTGCTTCAAGGGGCCCTGTGGCGAGGCCCTGTGGTGGACCCCCCTCTCTGGAGGCTCCCTGTCCAGATTGGGAGCGGGCAGGTGACAGAACTTCCCAGTGGAGTTGGTGGGGCACCAGCATTCGTCCCTACCAATGCAGCGGCCTCCATTCAGGCAGGGGATCTGGCAGAAATCTACAACATCGACCTCAAGGTGACGTGGTGGAAGAACACAGCAGCACCTATTATGTGGCCGCTGGGTGACAACAGGGAAGCGGGGGGAGCGAGACCCCCAAATCTGGATGGCTTTGGGAACCGGGCACCCCCTGAAATGCAGGGACTTTCCAGGAAGCCTGGGAGGATGAAGGGGGATGGATAATAACAGGCCTTGCCTTTCCTCCGCCCTGCAGTAACCTGGGGGATGGGACGGGAGTGGGGGGCTTGGGGGGAGTGGCACTGTTAACGCCTTCACTTTTCTGTGGAGGAAACTTGGATTCAGCGAGGTTGTGAGACTTGCTCAGAGTCACATGTGACAGAGCTGGGTGAGGACTCAGCAGTGTGTGGTTGGAGACCATTCACAGAAGCCACGGTATGAGGGCACCCAGCCTCCTTCCTGCAGAAGAGCTGGGATCCAGCCCAAGGCAGGCCTGTCCTTCTGGCTACCCCTGCACCCAGCCCCAGGGCCAGCCAGGAACCATGTGAGCGGGGAATGGACTCACAGATTCGGAAACCAGACTTGGGGTCATGCCCGTGGCCGCTCTGGCTGTACAGGGTGGTGGTGTCGCCACGCTCGCAGCTGCTGGCACAGCGCCCATGGGCACAGGTCTGCTTGCAGACGGTGGGAGTGAAGACGATCTTGATCTTCTTGATTTTCTCCGTGAGATTCAGCCCTGCAGAGAGAGGGCTTGGGTCCAGGGGGCAAGGCTGAGAGGCACAGCTGTGACCTCCAGAGGCTGGTTAGAAAGGCCCACGGGACTGGGTTGAATCCATCCCAAGGGCACTTGCTAAGTACCTCCTGGATGCGAGGTTCCATAGCGGGGGCCGAGTAACAGCTCACAGGCCAACATCTACTGAGGGATGCCAACAGGCCAGCAACTGAGTTCATGCCTTATGCACAATAACTCTCAACGCTCTTGAGTATTATTTTAGGTTGAACCACTAGAAATTGCCATTTTTGTAGGTTAAAATGGTTGAATATTGGCAATGTTCTTATATCTAACCTAATATTTCCATCTGACAGTTAAGGAAACTGAGGCTCAGAGAAGGATGGGTTGCATCCCAAGTCACACAGCTAGCAAGGGCTGCAGCTGGGCTTTGCACCAAAGGGCAGAGAACAGAATGTAGCTCAGACTTGCCAGAGAAGAGAGTTTTCCAAGAGAACACCTGAAAGAATGATTTAGAGTCGGGTGCTGGAGGCCCTAATGGCCAGAACAAGGATAGGGAACTTTATTCAGTTGGTGGTGGGAAATCATTGAAAATTTTCAGTGAGAGATCAAAGACGAAGTGGGGGGAGGGTAATGCCATCTGAGATGGGGTGTGCAGGTGGATGGAGAGACAGGGTGACTTGTTGGGAGGTCTTTGTAGCAGTGTGAGCTGAGGTCGCTTCATTTAACACAAGTGGAAATACAAAGGAGGGGTATTCATTCTGTATAGGGGGCCCAGCGGGGAAGCCAGGAGGCGGAGGGGTTGAGAAGGGAAGTATAAAAGGTCTATGGAGACTTGACTGTGAAGGGAGGAGAGATAGAAAGGAAGGCAGAGGGAAGTGGAGAAATAGCCATGCGTGTGTGTGTGTGTGTGTGTGTGTGTGTGTGTGTGTGTGAATGGGAGAGCTGTAAGTAACTGTATATGCTCTAGGGAAAGGGCTGAGTGGGGGACAGGTTGAAGGGGGAGGAGAACTGGGGTGGGGGGAGGGCAAGTGACAGCCTAGGGTTCCAGAAGAGTCAAGAAACAGTGGGATGTGCCTTAGACAAGAAGAGGGGCACTTCCTTTTCAAGATGGCAAGAAAGGTCATCAGCTATAAAAAGGACACCGATGCATGCAGTCCACAACATGGATAAACCTCAAAAACATTACACTAAGTGAAAGAGCCGGACACAAAAGGCCACATGTTGCATGATTCCGTTTATATGAAATGTCCAGGATACGCAAATCTATAAGGACAGGGAGTAGCTTAGTGGGACCAGGGGCCGAGGCGAGGGTGGGAGTGGGGAAGGGAGTGACTGCTTAATGGGCACGGGGCTTCTGGCAGTGATGGCGATGTTCTGTAATTAGATGGTGATTGCACAAAATTGTGGATATGCTAAACATCACTGATGTGTGTACACTTTAAAATGGGCAGGAAGGTGAGGACTCTGGGGAGTGGAAAGCATGGCCATGGGATGGGGCTGGGGAAGGTGGGGGCAGCTTGGAGTAGCTGCTCTGAGGAATGAGAGAAAGTGTCCAGGCACACCGGGAAGGATGGCTGGGCAATGAGCAAGAATGTGTGGAAGCTTGAATCCTCAGCGATGCTCAGCTCTCTCCTCTGGGAAGCAGAGGCCCCACTGTAGGTAACAAGGGGTTTACAGGAAGGATGAGGTGGAAGGACCGGTGCCAGGGAGGTGAGGTTCACAACTGGATATGAGGGAAGCAAAGGCAGGACAGGTGACAGATGGGGCAGAAATGGAGCCATCAAGGTCTAGGTGTCTCAAAGGGGCAAAGCCTCCGACAGCCGGTTTAGGACCCCTGGAGCCCGACACAAAGCAGATGCTTGACAACTGTTTTGTTCATTGGCTGAAAAGATAGGAGACAGGGTGACAACCCAGCCCTTCTGAGAGGGTGAAGGGGGAAACAAAGGCGGGGAGAAGAAGGTCCAAGATTTAGATGCCCTGCTCTTTGAGAACCTGGAGCCAGGGTGTCCTTACCCCAGGAGGATGACGGGTGGCCCAGATATGCTGCCTGCTGGGCACCATCCTTCCGTTCAGGGCCTGGCCCCATGGGCAGGGCATTGGAGGTCAGCGGGCCATTGGCTGCAGTGGCCAGATAAAGTCGGGCAGTCTGGGACAGCCCCACGTGCTGCTGGGTGGCGTGTGTCTGGCTGAGCCCACTCAGGGTCCTGTGGAGACAACCGGGGCATGGGGTTTGCATCCCAGGAACAGTGGCTCTGTGCCCTTCCTGTTCAGGACGTCCACCCCCGCCTCTGCACTAGAAGAGTGTTCTCTGGCTGCCTTCTTGCCAACTCCAGGAAAACAGAGGTGCCCTGAGACAGGGGAACAGGGCTAAGGCCAGCTGGCTAGTTCGGTGGGAGTGCCTACCCCTATGTAGAACTGCCAGGCTGTGGCTGGGTATTCTGGGCAAGTCACTGAGCCTCCCTGGGCCTCAGGGCCCTCAATTGCAAAATAAAGGTGTTAGATTGGTCCCATGTAGCTCTGACATTTGAAGAGTTTGAGACTCTGATGGACCAGCCCTTGCCCTAAAACTGAGTCCTGTGCCTGCTTCTTGCCACTTCTTTTATATTTTTTATTTTTGCGGTACGCGGGCCTCTCACTGTTGTGGCCTCTCCCGTTGCGGAGCACAGGCTCCGGACGCGCAGGCTCAGCGGCCATGGCTCACGGTCCCAGCCGCTCCGCGGCATGTGGGATCTTCCCGGACCGGGGCACAAACCCGCATCCCCTGCATCGGCAGGCGGACTCTCAACCACTGCGCCACCAGGGAAGCCCCTTGCCACTTCTTAATACAACCTTTCATACAAATTGCTTGTGGAACAGGTGTCCAGCAAATACACGTTAACAGATTGATGCGGGGGCAGAGCCCTGAATATCCCTCTGATTAATGTTACTGTAAAAATAATATAACAACAATGTTCAAGGAGAAAAACAATGAATTCATCATCCTCCAACCCCAACACGGCAAATACTTTGGCATATTTCCTTTCAACCTTTGCCAAGTATATGTTCTTACGCTGTTGTCCTCACTTGTAGATACCACTTAAATTCTGATTTTTCACTTACATTAGATCGTACTTTATACAATTCCACAATTTTCATATTGCTCATCTTAATTGCTACAAGGTAGTCTATGTGAAGATGAATCACAATTTATTCAGACATTCTCCTGTTATATACTTAGATTGTTTTTTAAATTTTTAACTGTGGACATCCTGACGCATAATGGATTTTTTTCTTCGGTTAAAATATTCCTTTAGTATAGGGGGATCCATTAAACTGTTTTTATTCTGTATATTTGAAAAATATTTATAAGAAACATTTTGAAAAGGCTTATTATTTTAGGATTAATTCTGCGGACTAGAATGACCATATCAGAGGTACATTTATGGCTCTAGGTATACACTGGAGGACTGCTCTCCGAAAGGTTGTATAAATGTCCCATTCAGAGTGCAGCCTCGCCAGCATTATTATATTATACACAGCCTCGCCAGTGTATTATTAATTTTTCATCATCCTTATCGTAAATGATACTTCAATGTTGCTTTAGCTACCCTTTTTTTTATCATTTCTGAGGTTGAATTTTTTTCATACATCTCTTTACCACTTGTGAAAATTTTCTGCTCATGTCCTTTGATGTCTTAACTATTTGAGTTGTTTGCTCATAAACTTGAACGGTCCTTTATGTGTTTATTATAAGGCAGGTCATTCTACAAGGCAGCCTTGTTGTAAATACTCTGTCACTGTCAAAATGTATATGAACCACTGTATACGTGACAGTGTCTGGACTGTGGTGAGTGTGAGCACATTGTAGACATTGAAGCTGAGAGAGTAATTACTTGCCCAAGGTTATACAACAGGTAAATCAGGCCCCAGGACTCCAATCCAGCAGAGCTTGACTCCTGTGCCACCCAACAGAGCAGCCCAGACCATGACAGAAACTCAGCCTAGAAGCCTCTGCTCAGGCCTGGGGTGGTGCTCTTTCCTCCCGTAGGTCCCACCCGTAGCCTCTCCACTGGATTCTTTGCCCAAGTGGGTCCTGGGACCCTGTCCCTCCATCGTCCCTACTCCTGTTCTGTTGGCCCCGGGTGTCCAGGCCATGAGCAATCTCCTTCTCATCCCTTCCTGGCAGAAGCCAGAGCAGCACGGGTGTCAGAGTTGGGCACCTTCCAGCCCTTCCCCAGCCCTGTTGGCCTGGGACTTGGCTCCCATGAGCTTCACCACTGCGCTTCTTCCAGTGCGACCAGCAGCAAATACTCACCCTGACAGCCCCAAACATGCCCCAGCCTGCTCCCCGAGTTTGAGGGCTGGAGTGAGAGAGAGGGTCCGTTAGCCACCCCAGAAGCTCTGGGAGCTGTAATGGACCAGATTTGGGGGCCCCACCCTCAGGCACCTGCTCCTAACTCCGAGGAGAAGGTCAGCACAGCCAGCTACAGCAGAAAGCACAATCCTTCCAATGGCTTCCAAGAGTTCACCAAAGAGTGAGAGGTAAGTGAGCTGGTGGGTCGGTGGAAGTCTCCTCCTGGTGGCACCAAGCCGGTGCCATGGCTCAGCTTAGTGTCGGCATCACAGAGCACCCAGGGAGCTAAAGGGAGTAGTTCAGGTTCTGCCCGGACCACCTGGGACATTTCTGAACTTGATGCTGACAAAGAGCTCTCCAGTCTGGTCAAGGTAGAAACTCAAAGGGTTCTTTCTTGGTCGTTTGCTGTCACTGTTGTTACTGCTGCCATCACTTGTTTCTCTAGTTGGAACTCAATGCTAATGGCCCCAAGATTACTGAGTTCAAATCCCTTAAGGGCCAGAGGTTTAACTTTGCAGAGAAGAAAAAAAATGTCTTCCCTAGTTGTAGAAAGGACCTGTCTGTACAGAGAAGAGAGGACAGGAGTTGGCCAGGCAGATGTCAGTTCTGCCTCCTACTTGACCAGTCACTGAGATCCCCTGGAACTCAGATTCCTAATCAATAAAACAGGAATAGTGACACCCACCCCACCGGGCTATGGTGAGGACCAAGGGCAACGGTGACACCGTGTGATTATTTTGAAAATATAAATAAGTTGTCACAAGTTGAAAACTATGCCAGAACTTTAAAATCACATGAACAAAGAAAAGAAAGTGCTAGCTATAGTTCAGACAAAATACCTCTCCCCAAGCCACTAAAAATTCTTCTTCATCTAAGAGGAATCAAAGACACCTCAAATATCTTGTTATACTGCCCAAGCATCCTTACATATAAAAGGCCAAGTGACTAATCTGGTGTCAATACATTTTTAACAACCACAGCCTTCTGAGCTCAATCCATTGTCATCTACTGCTGTGATGAGGATTTCGGATTAAACGATAGAAATCAGAAAGTCCTACCTTCTGAGAGGCTCACAGCCAAGTCAAGAAGGAAGCCTTGGTTCTTTGATAGGCCCTAACCCCTCTAAAGAGTCAGCTATCTCCCTTCATAAACCCCAGACCAGTCCTTGGAGGTGGATAGGGAGGGAGGGCCCCCCACCTCATGTGTGAAGGGCTTCAGCTCCTCAGCTCAGCTCTGGCTCCTAGAGAGTGGTAGCAACAGAGGCAAGTGAGAGCTGCACTGGGAAGGTGACTTTCTTTGACTAAAGTCCCCGGAGCGGGGCTCTGTCCACTCTCAGCTTTGGAAGAACTGCTTCGATTTCGTTAAAGGATGGCATAAAGGTTCTCAGACTCGCCTGGCCCAAGATTATCTCTCTGGGATTGTTCCAAGGAGGTCCTGGCAGAGCTGCCGCAATTGATGGGAACATCCATCTCTCTAGACTTCAGGATTTCATGGATCAGTAAAATTTTGAAACAAATGTAGGGGACCAACATAAAGTTGCCAACTTTTTACTTAGGTAAGACATTAAAACACACACACACACGCACAACTCCCAATTATTACCACCATAATTTTATGAAAGAAAAGACATTTCAATGCCAATAAGAAATATTTGAATAAGCTTAACTTCTTGGAAATCTCACCTCATTGACTTTATTTTTTTCATTTCTTCATGGACCAACGAAAACTCTCATCACAGACCATCATGGAGCCAAGGAGGAGCCACTGGGTATGATCCACCAAGATGTGCTCTGGCCTGAGGACTCTCCGGCTCTTTCAACTAACTTGGGAAAAAACCTTCCATCCCAGCTGGCTGGGATCTTCAGACCTGAGTGGAAACTCCCTGGACAGTGCATACCCATGATAATGCCACTCAGCTGAACATGGTGCCCCCATATTCTGCCCAACTCACTAAGGTTCTCAAACAGTGATGGGGAGACGAGTGGGTGAGGGGCTCCGTGCCCTCCTTCCCACCCACTTTCACCTTAGTCTGGTGGCTCCACTCTATCTAATTGATAACTGGGTTTCCACATACTATTTTGTTTGCTAAGTGTTCTGCTGCCAAAAGAAAGTTTAAAAACATCACTGCAAAGTACATAGAATAATTACAGCTCCCATGGACAGAGCACTGAAGGATGTACTTTAAATACATCATCTTATTCATGTTATTTTATTGAATGAAAAAAGTAAGTTGCAGAATAATATGGACAGTAATACTTCCAGGTTTTTGTTTGAAGAAAAACCTCTCTCTCTTCCCTACAGATATTTATATAGGCATAGGAAAGGTCTGGAAGGATCTGTAAACAGTGGCTGCCCCTTGGGGATGAGAATGCCTAGGTATGTGTAACTACTGTTTTAAACTTTATGTTTCCATATTTTTAGATTTTTTTCAGTAAAAAAAAATTTGTTTTTTACAGTTTTACAGTAAACATGCATTATGTTGTAATAAAAATAAATCTCTATTTTCCCCAGCAACTCCAATTTATAGGTAAGGAAATTGAGGCTCATGAAAAGCACGATAAATGTGTGTATATTACTAGGATCCAAGGTGGACTCTGATGGCTAACAGAGGTACAGGAGTTCAGATGTAAGCAGGACCATGACATTTGAGCTGGGGCTTAAGAGAAGGGTAGGAATTTCACAGTCCAAAATGAGGGGGAAGACATTCCAGATAAGAAAAGTAACAAGAAGACGCGTGAAGGTGGGAAGCATGGGCCATATTTAAGGAAGGATAATGAGCACAGCTGGAGGAAGCATAGAATGGAAGGGAAGGGAGGGAAGGAGAATAACGTCCATTCAGTGCCTACCAAGTAGTGGACGTCATTCTAGGTG